GTGTTAAAAAGCTGCACGAAGTCAAGCACATACCGTGTCCCAGTCCTATTTCTCCCAAATTTGATCCAATTGTGTGTGGTGTTGGACGCTTGAGACAAATGATACAAGTGGAACAAAGTAAAACACGTGGCGCTAGCAATTCAAAAATGATACGAGTGGAACGTTAGGAACATGTGGTAATACGAATGTACGAGTACGAGTGTATAAAGCGCTTTCAATAGTTGCAGTCTTCGTGGAAGAGAGTTTTACAAACCAAGCATTGAGTTTCTCAAAGATGAGAGATTTTTGACTTTCTGCTTACAAATCTAATTCAATGCTGTATTCAAGGCCATCAAAATAATGTCATTTGCATCTTCGTGGTTTTTGCAATAGGGTATTCTGCATTATGGAAGTTACACATCGCAAAAAATAGGAAAGACATATTGGAATTGACAACAAAATTTCAATCTTATTTACTCTCAACAGTGGGCAAATTCATCGCAATAAATCCAAATTAAATTGTTTGAATACTTTGTTCCGTTATCAGTTATTATTATATCAGTATCAGTATATTATTTTTAGTGCGTCACAGACTGAAAAAATTTAGGATCTTTCTTTAGTTGGTTTTCATAAAATCCTATTATCGATACACTCCGCCTATTGGGAATCTTTATAAAACTTCACCTTTTGCGCATCATGTCGCTATACGAATATTGTATGCAAGCAAATACCATCCATCTGCTGTATCGCTTGTTTGAATTTATTGGTAATTCAATTATATAAGTCATAAATATTGATTTACAGGGAGTTTTACAAAGAACTTTTTTAAAATATTTTTGCCGGCCGCGAGTCAGTCTCATTAAAATACTTATTTTCTAGTTTCAACAGAAAGGGTAATCTGAAGCATCACACATAATGAATCCAGTCAGTTCAATGGAAAGGCTCTTGCGTCGAGTATTCAACGTTGAAAAATTGCTATCAAATGATATACTGTTCAAATATTTATTTTTCTTTGAAGTGGACTCATATATAACAATAGTGAGGAGTCAAACAATCTCTCACATATATTATCTATACGTGATCTGTTTACATCCGCAGGTATGTCTTCAGTGGTCAAATGCGTAATAGACATAACAATAGTAAGGAGCCCGGCAACCTTTCACATAAATTATCTACCGTACCTAAGCTGCGTACACTCGCAAGTATGTCTTCAGATTTCTCAATATAATGCGTCAAACAGCCAAACAACTGTCCAGATCAGACATCCTTCCCGCACAATGATGCCCGGAATTCGTAAATAGTGTTCTTGATTTTTAAAATAAGTAAACTCGCGATATTTTGATCAATTTTGGGTTTTATCCGACTGCGACCCGCGAGACATTCCCAAAAACTATGGCAACCCGTCAACCTCGCAACAACACAACACTTTGATATAGATCATGTCGTGTTTTAATTACCGCATTTCGATGCTACCGTTGTCAAATTTTATTAAACATCTCACGGAGCCCCGAAGAATCCACCGAAGATTTCGTGCGACCCGCAAAGCATTCAGGCGATTCAGTGTATATTTGGTGTGAAGTCAAAAACCTTCAGGGAATGTACAGAGAAAATGAAAGCGCCAGTATTTTGAACACACAATTAATTAAATTAAATTTATTTTAAAACTTTTATATATAAACTTGTTGTTGTTCGTTTGCGATAGCAAATAGGTTCGTCACCCCTGTGTTGGATGTTGTATTTATCTAAATAGTGTTTTATCAATTATATATCCGTTCGTATATTCATCGTTAACACCCAGTATATAAAACGCGATGCCTTGGCTCAATTTCGTTGTACATGTATCATGTTCATGTGTACTTCAAAATTTTATGATTTGAACCATGAAATTTGGAACAAAAATGTCATTGAAATTCATTTGCACTCGTCGCCGTGATTATGATTTGATAATGAGGCGCAGTAATTAGAAATTTCTAATATCGTATGATGATCACTGTGGGATTTACAAACGCTTTCAGAAAAGGAAATGAGTACACTTACTGTGCGTTTTGTTTTCAGTTGTCATTTGATTCTAAGCAGGTATTGTCTGGACTTGAATGAACACGGGACACGTGATATAAATGAAAAAACTACGATCGATGGTGCAATGGTAAACGATATTTTGAAATGTGATGTGACAGAAATATTGCAACTCCCATTTTTCTTCAAAAATGCCACCTTCTTCATGTACTTTGCGCTTCATTTAATTCCTGAGGTGTTTCACATGTATTCTTTTGCTAGCTTTGAGGTGTATCCATATCTGGTCCAAATTGAAAACAAGAAATTTTAATTTTCCAAAATACTTTCAGTAAATTGTCGTTTTTTGTGTGAATAATCAATTTTACTTCTTCGAAAGATGTAAAAAAATGTATTACATTCAGATAAAAAAAACTTACAAAATAACACAATTATTGTTAAGTGTTCGCGGGCCGCATTGGAAGTTCTCTGGGGCCGCATGCAACCCGTGGACCGCAAGTTTGACACCTCTGTTCTAGTTGGTATTTTTTTCTTCTTGTTGGTATTAAAAAATCACATACTAACTGTACTGAACCAATGCTTTGAAACTTTTGGTGGTTAAAGATTGTGGTTTTCGTTAGAAGGATATTACTTATATTTTTTTTAAAAATTCCGGCTTTTGTGAGATCCGGTTTTGTGTGCGGTTAAGTCACAATATTGAAAATTGTGTTCCTTGTGGCGGTTCCGCTTTCGCGTAAGTTCAAACCTTCAAGAGAATTTAAATAAACTACTAATGACAAATCGCTGTTCCATTTCAACCCAGCAATTTAACCCACAAAGTGATACGAAATATATGAATACATTAGCAGCGAGGTGGAAACGTGGATTGAATTCAGTTCTGAACTTTAAGGCAATGATAACGATGATCCAAAGTTCTACAGTCTACATCTACATAACAGGTGACAGTCACTGCGGAAGTACTTCAATTAAATCTTGTTGGGAATCGCGCATTAAATATTTGTGACAAAAAATTTCATCATATTTTTAATAGATCTGTAGAAAAGTGTAAATTCGAGTTTGACGCCGCTTCACAAAAATACTGATTGCTTGCATAATTGCCACAGAATGCGCACTTTTTTAATGACGTTCAATAACCAATCTTGAGTTGCTGCCATGGAATTATGGTTAATTCGTGGGCAACATATTCTGACTTTTACTTCCGATTTGTTATTCGCATTTTAAACTCAATTTTTTTTATGTGTCACCAATTCAATTAGAGATCGATTCGAGGCAATCTGGAATCCAAATCTAATATAGCCTATCAGCGAATCTCCACCCCCTGCAGAACGAAAGGTGAATAAGTAGTTATAAAAGTGTTGCCCAATAACCAACTTTGTTTTTTTACACCGTATATGTATTTTCAAATTATTTATGAATGTATTCTATTCTGTATTGCAACGTTATACGGCTGAACCTATAACACTTGAGGATTCAATGTCCATTCAGACGAAACAGTTTGTGCAAAACATTGCTTGTGCTGTGAAACTCAGATTGCCGGGTTTACCCGAATCATGAGTCAAGCCATTTTTTGTACTACAAGCAGCAATCACACTTGTGGCCTGATTATTCACACAATATGTAACCGATTAGTGTTGTCTACTTTTAAAGTTTCGCGATATTATACACATTTTGTCCGCTCAGGAATGTTATAAACTTGCTGTCAGCGCATCCGGATTGAGACGAGAGCTAAAATTTTTGCAGCATCAGATACAATTTTCCAGTAGACTATTGAACTTTCCGCGTCAAGTCGAACCATCCTCCGTTTTGTATTTCCGTTTGTTTTCCTGATCAGAACGAAAACACTCCATACAAAATATTGGAATTTTACCTTCGGTGGAATATTTTATCTGATGCATCAAAAATTCAGCATGCGTAACTAGAATGAAAGATTCTGTTAGAAATATTGCGCCTATCAATTTGCGTTTTCTGTTGTTTAATGTTATAGTCTTTACTTTTATGAAAATTTGAGCATTCACCAATGTGATCAACTTCTTATTTGGACAACACATCTGTGTTTCTTACTTGATCAGACGGAAGTTATATAGTTCAGTATTTACCCAATTGTGTTCAGCAGTCTCCTAGCTAGATCATCATGGGATGCGGAATGTATTTAGTATTAAATGTAAAACGTAGTTGGACGAGTTGAAGCTAAATTTATTCTTCAAAAAATTTAGATAATTCACAAAAAAAATTCTGTGCTTTAAATAAGTAACAACAATGAAGATCATTAAAGTAATTGGAGTTGTCTGTCTAATCGGAGGTGAGTTGATGTATCCTTTTACTGACTTTTGTTTTATGGCTTGTGAAGATTACATGATTTGGTTTTGAATTATACGTTTTTCAATATTCAAGTTCATTCCGGTTAATTTGTAACTCGAGTCACTATAGTGCACGAATCGATTTATATAAAAGTGATTCAACTCATTTCCAAATAACGGGTAGAACTCGATGTGACTAAACCCTGGAATCTACGGAAAATAAATTTCACTCAATTTACCCACGTATCTCTAGGTGTTTGGTTTCACCCATTAAGGTTATCAGTGTGAGGTTGTAGAGTAGAAGAATTTCTACTAATCAACTCCGTCCAGAGTGTACTCATCGACTTTGTCATCTACCATGTAAATTGAACTGTTTCGTGTATAACGTTATCTACTGATATCCTTGTTAGAAGAAACAACATCAATAAATCGTTTTGCATTATAGTGGGTGCTTGAAACTCGTCTGCCAATACTATGTTTAAATATAAGTTAGGAGACATCTAGTTTACCGTACCTACCGTGAGCTACCGGTATCGAATAACCACTTCCGCGTCAAATGATTTTGCAAAATTAAAACGGAAGACAGCCGTCACGCTTGGCGGGTTGAAAACCCCGTAATAGCCCTCAAGCAACAACAACAATCTTTATTCTGAAAATTTCAAAGCAATTGGTCCAGTAGTTAAAGAGGCCAACAAGAAGAAGAATGACAATATAATAACAAAACGATCCATAGGTCTACTTTGTGTCCAATAAAAAAATAATAGGTCGATATACGATTATTTAGTTACCAGGTGTGCAGACCCCGGGATTGAATTTTTGTCAAGGACTTTAGACTGGGGTTACGACGTCGGTAAGACAATACTTGGGATCAAGCCAGGTAAGATTTTTCTGGTATTCTCTAGTTGAAATTCAATTTTATTCAAAGAAGATGAAAGAAGAAAAAACAGTTCATCCGAACTACGCTTACGAGGTTAGATCCTTTATGAAAATACTTGGCCGACTCGATTTGTTCGATATGCGTAGATTTGGATTGAAGAGTTTCGCAATTTGACCGATTTGTGTCTATTAAAATTATTGGATTTATTCAAGAGTCGTGGCACACAATTTTTTTACTAAAAGAAATCTGGAAAATACAAGGGTAGCAGCATTGGCGATAAAAGTAAATCTCGATGACATAGCACGATGTGATAGTTTGAAACCATTGCTGGTGTGACTCGTATCTCCAACAAAATCACTGAACAAGATTAAATATTTAATACTTTTGTCTTCGCAGAAAACAACAAGCCGACTACTCGTCCCGAAAAGAGGCGTGAAATTTCAACTACCATACAATCGAATTCCGAAGCAGTCTCCATCCAATTGATCCTGATAATTGTCGGTTCCGTTGGGGCATTTGTGGTTATATCGGTTGTGATAGGAGTGTGTATTTATAGTAAAATGAGGTAGGCTACGTCATGTATATTACCAAATTCAATGTATCCCAGGTTTGGTTGTGAGTATGAGGCTCTAATCCGATAATTCAATCTACAACGCCAACATAAATTAGCCCAACGAGTTTAGCCTTAGCTGACAGCACCCAACGCACTTTTCTTTTTTAAATCACCGTTCGATTTTTTCTCAGAAAACCAAGACAGCATGAATTTAGAGAAAGTTTCCCTATGCGTTTTCACAACAGGAGTATTACACCGCGAACACTGGATGTTCCTTCTTCAATGCATTTTGATACGGCCGACCTTTCACACATCCCACTACCCAAGGATTCATACCAGTATCTATCGCCCATACAACACCCACACAGTAGACATCATATGGTTAACATACCAGCCGAGTTTACGACTACGAGTGTTGCCACCGCAGAACCGAGTTACATATACCCAGAAACACTGCCTTCTCCAAGAATGAACTTAGATTCTGAACAATATCTGGCACCGATAATACGTTCAGGTCTGGCATCATCCCATAAAACAGTAAATATGAATGGCGGGCACGGTATGAGCTCGCCTATGTTGCCTCCCATGTATGATGACATCAGAGAACAAGGTCCTAAATCAACACTGAGGCAAAAAGATAACGAACTCGTAGGTTCTGATGAGTATTGGGACCTAACTTCCAACCAAATGACGATAACGCATTGTGGAAACAATTCCGAACCCCCTATCCCGCCTGAGTATGATGACATAGGCGGAGTAACCTACGACTCTACATCAAAGCTAAAAGCGAATGTGCTTGTCGCCTCTATCTCGCCTGAGTATGATGACATAGGCGGAGTAACCTACGACTCTACATCAAAGCTAAAAGCGAATGTGCTTGTCGCCTCTATCTCGCCTGAGTATGATGACATAGGCGGAGTAACCTACGACTCTACATCAAAGCTAAAAGCGAATGTGCTTGTCGGCTCCAACTCCAATGCGAAAACGCATAGTGGAAACAACTCCGAACCCCCTATCCCGTCTGAGTATGATGACATAGGCGAAGGAAGTAACTTACGCCTCTACATCAAAGCCAATAGCGAATAACTTGTCGGCTCCAACTCCAATAATGACGATGACTGACGAATCGATGGGGCTTGTTGTCAAATAGCATATTTGAGAAACGAAGAGTATTGTGTGTTTTTCATCATGTGAGATAGATATTTATATATTTCATGGAGAGAGAACTTTGTCTCGCATGCAGTACCTAACTCTCAGTTCAATAATTATGAACGGTAATAAAGCGCGTCAAGTATTTAGAAAGACAAACAGTTCGATAAAGAAATTTGCAACAATTTGCGAGGTACAAATCTCATTAACATTGGTTGAAGCATTTTGTTATTTTGTATTGTATATGTGTGTTAATGCGTGTGAAGTGTATAGATATATATATTACAATTGTATGGTGAGATTCGGAGGATTTTCTTTGTGGAACAAACTGTCCTATAGGCATTACGAAATGTCTAACATTAGCTAACTTGTCGGACTTTCGAGATTTAACAAATCCTAACGCATATCGAGTAGAATATTTGATATTTATTATTTGAAGAAATTTAGTCAGATACAATCTCAAATCATTATCATTCTTTGATTTGATGACCCCGTTTCTACCAAATAAGATGTTAAAAACAAAAGAATTAACAGTTATACTTCGTCAAAAATGCCAGACAACTTGCACTATATTTTCAGAAAATTATATTCCATATTCAAAATCGGAAATGGAAATTCCGATCAAAACAGTCCTCGCTCGCGATTATGACTTTCGTTAAAATTGCCGATTTTTTTCAGCGATGATGATTTGTTTGTTGCGCAGAATAGTCAGTCCATGGCCGATACGAGTATTAACAAGAATTTGTCATACTAATTTAAATATTCTCAACGTAACTCGCCGTTGCGTCTACTTACAACAAAATAAAAATATTATTGCTCTGAAATACTGCAATCTGCGTTTATAAAAATATATGGTATACTGCCCGATTATAATTAGAATTGATTCGCATTATTCCGATCTTGGTAATTTGTTAAATTTAAACCGCCCACGGTTATTTCAAAAATACGCCGATAGCAAAATCCCAAGATCGACAATAAAATTTAACATTTTACGTTATTGCATTATCATCACAATAAGGAAAGAGGTCGTTTTGGGATCCGGCGGTAATTTAATAATGGATAATGGAATGAATCAACTTCAGGTGACTATGGTATAGTTTACGATCAAAAATTCCGAAATTTTGCGATTTAACAACGTCTAAAATACAGTTTTTATCTGTCGCGGCATTCGAGAATCAAAATTTATGGTTTTCTCGTTATATTATGACACCGCTTTTAATTCTTAATATTCACTTCCTCAATTTTCAATGGAAATTGGATTTGCGTATTCAATCCTGAGGTTGTATCATACTTCACGCACAGTTCCGGGCGATAAAAAAAACTCTTTATCGACGTCCTCTGGCACATGTGCAGAGGAATACTTGTGAGATAGGGAGAATTTACGGAAATATGGGTCACCGATGTAATCCCGATGTTCACGGCCTGAATATCCACGTCATACCGAAGAAAACATTCGGAGATTTTAACCATATTTGATTATTCGAGAATAAGCAATCACCCCACTGTCACCCCTTTGCATTTTTCGCCCCCTATTTTATCTCTTTCGCCCACTTTGAGAATCGCTGGAGTAGCACATGTAAGTAAGACTTGAAACAGGAGTGACGGTGATTTCATTGTCTGATGGTATATGGTTTGACAATCGATAATTTTACCACTCAGCAAGACACAGAGTTTCCTGAAGCCGAAAACGTCACTCCGTGTGAAAAAGCTGCACGAAGCCAAGCACATATCGTGTCCCAGTCCTATTTATCCCAAATTTGATCCAATTGTGTGTGGTGTTGGACGCATGAGATAAATGATACAAGTGGAACAAAAGTAGAACACGTGACGCTACCAATTCAAGAATGATACGAGTGGAACGTTAGGAACATGTGGTGATACGAATTTACGAGTACGAGTGTATAAAGCGCTTTCAATAGTTGCAGTCTTTGTGTAGACAATTTTACAAACCAAGCATTGATTTCCTCAGGGATGAAAGATTTTTGACTTTCTGCTTACAAATCTAATTCAATGCTGTATTCAAAGCCATCGAAATAATGTCATTTGCATTTTCGTGGTTTTTGCAATAGGGTATTCTGCATTATGGAAGTTACACATCGCAAAAAATAAGAAAGACATATTGGAATTGACAACATAATTTCAATCTTATCTACTCTCAACAGTGGAAAAATTCATCGCAATAAATCCAAATTAAATTGTTTGAATACTTTGTTCCGTTATCAGTCTACCGCTACTTTGTATTATTTTTAGTGCGTCACAGACTGTAAAAATTTAAGATCTTTCTTTAGTTGGTTTTCATAAAATCCTATTATCGATACACTCCGCCTATTGGGAATCTTTCTAAAACTTCACCTTTTGCGCATCATGTCGCAATACGAATAATGTATGCAAGCAAATACCATCCATCTGCTGTATCGCTTGTTTGAATTTATTGGTAATTCAATTATATAAGTCATAAATATTGATTTACAAAGAGTTTTACAAAGAACTTTTTTAAAATATTTTTGCCGGTCGCGAGCACTGAACTGGAAATATATTTATATATCTCTGTGGTCGCGAGTCAGTCTCATGAAAATACTTATTTTCTAGTTTCAACAGAAAGGGTAATCTGCATCACACATAATGAATCCAGTCAGTTCAATGGAAAGACTCTTGCGTCGAGTATTCAACGTTGAAAAAGTGCTATCGAATGATATACTGTTCAAATATTTCATTTTTCTCTCAAGTGGACTCATATATAACAATAGTGAGGAGTCAAACAATATCCCACATATATTATCTATACGTGATCTGTTTACATCCGCAGGTATGTCTTCAGTGGTCAAATGCGTAATAGACATAACGATAGTGAGACATAACGATAGTGAGGCAACCTCTCACATAAATTATCTACCGTACCTAAGCTGTGTACACTCGCAGGTATGTCTTCAGAAGTCCTAATGCGTCAAACAGTCAAACAACTGTCCAGACCAGACATCCTTCCCGCACAATGATGCCCGGAATTCGTAAATAGTGTTCTTGATTTCTAAAGTAAGTAAACTCGCGATTGTTGATCAATTTTGGGTTTTATCCGACTGCGACCCGTGAGACATTCTCAAAAGTTATGACAACCCGTCAACCTCGCAACAACACAACACCCTGATATAGATCATGTCGTGTTTTAATTACCGCATTTCGATGCTACCGTTGTCAAATTTTATTAAACATCTCACGGAGCCCCGAAGAATCCACCGAAGATTTCGTGCGACCCGCAAAGCATTCAGTCGATGCAGTGTATATTTGGCGTGAAGTCAAAAACCTTCAGGGAATGTACAGAGAAAAACGGAAGCGCCAGTATTTTAAACACACAATTAATTAAATGAATAAAAATTATATTCAATCAATCATCATTTTATTCGTCAGCACAAAATAAATGTATTATAAGAAAAAAACATTTCAAACACAATATGAACTTAACTTAAGTTGTGTGACAGGAGTCGCGAGGGACCTCATAAGGTCTTCAGGCAGCGACACCTTAAAAGCTCGCTGATTCAGGTTAGTGAGCACAAAAAGTTAATGAAACACCAAAACACTTCAAAAAATATTATAAGAAAAAAAGCAAAACAAAATATTAAAAAATATGTTTCATGAGTGGTTTGTAAAAGCAAAACATTACAGTTATGAGCATGTTTCTTAAAATCCACAACCAACGATGCAACTTAATGCACTGTATAAATTCATCAGATATATAGAAAGGAAAATAAATGTCAAATATAATACTGTATTAATTACTCAAACGGGATCAGCCATTGTCATGATCATCGGCATGGCGTAAGCAAGCAATTAAAAATTTGATTCTCAGAAAGTCAGACTCCACGCACATCTATCTGATTTTTCCGTAGAACAGAGCGTGGATAGACAGAATCGAATGTTTGGTCACAAAAATAGGGCTTGGGGGTTAGTTGCAAAGAAAATCAGTAACGGTGCAGGTACCGGTAGTGGTTAATTATCAATTCAAAGAAAGGTAGTCACTAATGTACTTCATTTTCAGTTCATTTTAAAATTTTATATACAAACTTGTTGTTGTTCGTTCGCGATAGCAAATAGGTACGTCACCCCTGCGTTGGATGTTGTATTTATCTAAAAAGTGTTTTAACAATTATATATCCGTTCGTATTTTCATCGTTTCTTCGTCGTTTACACCTAGTATATAAAATGCGATGCTTTGGCTCAATTTCGTTGTTCATGTATCATGTTCATGTTTACTTCAAAGTTTTAAATCATTGGAACCAAGAAATTTGGAACAAAAATGACATTGAAATTCATTTGCGCTCGTCGCCCTGAATATGATTTGATAATGAGGCGCAGTAATTAGAAATTTCTAATATCGTATGATGACCACTGGGGGGCTTTACAAACGCTTTCAGAAAAGGAAATGAGTACACTTACCGTGCGTTTCGTTTTCAGTTGTCATTTGATTTTAAGCAGGTATTGTCTGGGCTTGAATGAACACGGGACACGTGATATATATAAATGAAAAAACTACGATCGATGGTGCAATGGTAAACGGTATTTTGAAATGTGATAATACAAACATTTTGGATGAATTATTTTACATTTGTATGTCCAAAAATGGTTGCTTTGAAACAATTGCTTGAATTAAGGTTTGTCGTACTTGTTTTGTTTGAAATTGCTGTTTCATTTGTTAGTGTTTTAAGTTAAAACAAGAAAAATAGATTTTTAAACTTGTCTAATCAACTTTTATTGTCAATTCACTTTTCGAACACCCCGGGTACCAATGACTTGCCCGTACACGTCCTCTCAATCTGTAGCACAATGCGTCCACGTGCCTGGTTGGTTAAGGAAGTCGTAACCGGGAAGTCGTTGCTTTAACCACCCTGCGACAGCAAGAGGTCCAGCAATCACCTCGCACCCATCACATCAACCATGGACTTTGAACCTACGTAGCTAACGTATCTCTGATATCTCGGATAAACATTGCCCAAGCCAATGACTTTGATGTAGGTACTAACTTGGCGATAAAGCGATGCGGTGGCGGTTTTGTAATAGTTTCGCGGTGATGCGAGAGGGATTTCAACAAAAAAGTGAAAAAAAAATGAAAATAATTTATTTGAAACCGTATTTTTTACGTCAAAAAAGCTAGCTAAGGCTGCTTTGATTTTAAAAGCAGCGATACGGTGAACCAATGAGCATATATACAATGAGTGGAAACTTGAAAAGATTTGCTCATTTTGGTATTGTTCCCTGCATTTTTTACGTCGTCCGGCTAAATGGTTCGTTGCATATTAAGAAAAC